AACATATGCAGGTTTAAGTTAGCAAGTGTGCTCGGTTTTAGATTAAGTTTGTTTCACTTATGTTGCTTGTTTTTTTTGTCAGTTATCTCCGCGACACACAGAACTTCCTCCTCAAACGCTCGCTGTGTGAAGACTGAGCGATGAGGCCCCACGCGGTGTTGTGTAAAAGAGCAGATACATCATATTTTGCAACCGTGCATCACCGTTTGTCTCTTGCAAGGGAACACCCAGGCGATTCCTGCCAACCGCCGGTTAGCTTCAGAGCACGCCTCGGTCACAAGTTCATTTTTGTGTTCTGCAACGCTGAAGTCAGGAATCTCACATCCTGTTGTTACACGGGGCAGTCGAGTTTCAAATGTAAAACCGACGGGCCCCTGGAAAATACACTCATTCACACATTTGTCAAGAGTTGTAAAGAGGATTTATCTCGCTGTCGTGTCTGTGCGTCAAATTTCAAGACACAAGCAGTTAGCTTTAAATAGCTTAGCAGACTTTTACCTTTAAACAGCTTATTTGTTTGCAACCTTGAAAAAAGTTGTGCATTTTGGGAAACATTTGCTTCTTTGTTTTTTAGAGTTGGATATGAAGATTAATACCACTCATGCCTATGTAGCTATAGCCAGAAGCTAGGTGGTTAGCATACAGAGCTAGCCTTGATTCAGGGGTTAAACCGGACTCCATTTTTGTTTTCAGCAACAGAATTTCATTTTTCTTGGTGTATAAACACTGCATTCAGTTTTGCTGCTTAAATGCAATAATGTCTACCATAGTGGAGTTATTGCAAATATAGAATTTAACTAATCACTTAATTCAGAAAAGTGAAGCGACAGCCAGCCAGCCTCGTAATGAAAACATCAGAACATAAACTAGTGCAGATACTTAAACTGGGCCTTGTATGTATGACAGGAAATGTTTCCTGACACATTTTTCAGACTTTATGTGATTTTTTTAAGGCGTGGTGCATTTTATTACTCAAAGCGGTAAAGCAAAGGAAGCTTGTTATCATGATATCAGGGCTGAACAACTGCAACACAAACAAGTGGAATATTCAAGCCATGAGACTGTTTTGATGAAGGGGAGATATGTCACAACATTGCATTATTAAGTGTGGTGCTATAGAGATGGCACGATCTATAGATTATATTCTCCAGATGTATGGAAACACGCTTGACTGCAACAAAAACAGCATATTGTTCAGTCCTAATAGGGATTGCTGCTCACATATAACTAATCTAGGTCACTCTGCAGCGACAGCACCTAACCGCTACAGTCTAACGTCGTGTTAAAAGCAAAATAATTGATATGCAATATGGGCATTTGCGACTTTAATCAAGACTTTTTGTTTGCAATGGTTTTATCTTCAGAAGTTGTGCAACTAAATTTATTGTTTGGATTTGATCATGTGAATTCTACAAGTCGGGAACTAATCTTTCCACTTATTCCAACACCACGTAATATCCATCTGAGTTTTGTCAAGAAAACTGCATTGAGCCACAAAAGAAAGCAACCGCCAGCGAGAAATCTACGCAAAAAATCTCGATAGTAATTTTTCAGACTGTTTCACCTGGCAATTCGATATAAATGTCAGCCATTTCCATCCCTTGAAGGCACCGTTCATGCAGAAACATTAAGCCACGGCCCGCGTGGCTGCAGGAAAACATCTATCTAAAAAAAAAAAAACACCCTCTAGATAAGGTCACACGCCAGGTGATGCTGAATCCTTTAATTTTCACCAACTCTGGTTTTCTAAGAAATGGTTGCGGTCTGCAGAATAAGGCACAAACATTGCATCTGGAGGCCAATTTGCTCGCTGCACGGTGTTTATCTGCTTCATTTCCTCCTGACTGTCAGAGTTGTGCTCACTGAGCTGTACAGTGGTTTTATACAACAGTCGTTCTGAACAACTTTTTGTGTGTTAACCCTGGAAGTTTCACATTCACCCAGCCTGCTTCTTCATTACCCTTGCAGGCGTTTTAACAGCCCTGGCTGGTTCCTGTTTATGTATTCCTCCCTAAAACAGATCACAGTTCCTGGGCAAACCACAAACCCCTCAATTTCCTGTCGTCATATTACATAATTATTAAGAACATTCAGAAGAAAAAAAAAAAGCTTGAAAACTCATAGGCAGTTTGAAAACAAATGTATGGAAATGAATGTACTTTTTGAATGCAGGTGCAGGATACCACAGACGTTTTCAGTTCCCTTTCTGAAACTGAGACACGCCTAACACCTGTAGCACACTGACACCTTAATTAATCATGATCTTGCAGCCACCATCACTGCTAATTCACTGCCTTTAAGATGTAGCACCGGTGCGTTCTGATCTGCCCTCCCGCATGGCTTAACCACGATTGTGTTTCACCCTGACTTGATTTAATTCAAGCCGCAGTCTGATTTACAGCTCTTCGGCTCTGGCACTTTCCCTCCCCAGCTGCCTTCCCCTCCCACAGAATGTCTCCAACTCCTCTGCTGCTGCCTCTCTCTCTTCTCTTGTGTGTTGCAGCCTCCGTGCCTTCAAAGGTGAGGGAGAGCAGAGTGCATTGACAGACTGAGATTCTACAGAGTCTGTGGCCTTTTACTGAGAGTTGCAGAGGTGACAGAGGAGCAGCGATTTACGGGAGAGATAGGAGGAGAGCGGGGATTTGTCAGTTGGTTTGCAAGGGTTGATCCACAATTAGAAGCGATCTCGTTCGTATAAGGCGGTGACGCATCCATTCATTATTATATCTTTGACTATCAGAATTTTAGGATTGCCGTTGTCCTGCCAAGTTAGTGGGAGTCACCACGTATCTGATTCCAGCTCGGCCTTGCTACATGCGGGTAAACCTGTTCAAAACAACTCCACAGCTCAGATGGCCTCCATGCAGGTAATTAAGAGTGCACTACCAGAACTGTGGAGGAATAGATTGGACTGGCTAATTAAAAGCAACACTATTAAAGACAGAGGACATGCAGAAAGTGCATTGGACCATTAATCCCAGTGATGGCGTACATCCAACGCACGTGTCTGAACTGCTGCTCTTTGTCTACTCCCTGTAATTATTTTCTTCTCGGTGTGATTTTCTTCCGGTGTAGATCGATTTTTGCTGCTTTCCTCTTTGTTATTTTTCCTTCTGTTTATTCCTTCCTCTTCCTACCTCCCAAATTTGTTGCTGCTGGGCCTTTAGCATAAACCCTTTCACAATGGAGCCAATTATGGCTGGCTTTCCTGATAAGTGCAACACTGCAGCAGGTTGAGGTGGAGGAGGCAGCCAGAAGTGATGCTAAATATCAAGGGTGGCCGCTCCAGAGACCAGTAATAATTGCACTGCGGCAGCAGAGCAGAGAATGGAAAGGTAGAGATGCAGGGGTTTTCTTTTTTTAACTCCCTCTACTTGACTTTTCCACTATTCTGGATGCGATTTAAGTCTTTGAAATCCTGTCTTCTCATAAAGCGCTATATCTTTCAAGTCAAGCACCACTTCAGCTGAGATCACAGAGGCCACGGGTGACTCTGAGATGACTGACAATCAAATAAGGCAGCATGTGATAAAATGGACTTTGGACAAATTGTTTTATTGATTGAAGCTTTGCTGACAGATTTGTCTGAGCAGGGAGCGCACAAATTACGCTTGATGTTGATGGCTGCCTGATTTGCATTCTCTGAATCAGACGCTGATCTGGAGGAACAAGTGCACAAAAGCAAGCCTGTCCAACATTCAAAACAGGTACAGCTAATCAGCAACATGCTGCACCTGTCAAATCAGCAACACCGTGACTTTTCTGCTTCTCAAAAGGAAGCGATGAGCTGCAAAACTACAGCCGCTAATACTTTCAAATGTTCAGACAGGCTGCCAGTTACAGCTTACAAGTCAAATCCCTCTGCACGGACACCAAAACATGGGTGGATAAGGCTTGAAGGAGGGGAGATGGTAAAGAAGCTGCAGAGCCAGTAATCAGCAGCCCCGTACTCAGAGATGCCTCCTAATCCCTGCTGCTCTGAGGGTGGTGGGAGAAAAAAAATCACCTTGAATCACTAGAGTCAAGGCAGCCTGTATCAGAGAGCAGGTAATGATGGGTTGCACTGAAGGAAAATCAAGAAAGCAATCTGACCTCTTGCTTGTTTAATTCAGGCAGTCAAGGCTGAATCTCAATAAGCTGGGATGTGGCTTACAGCATTACATTACCGTCACTGTAAATTCCCATCAACGCACAGGTGGTTGGTTGTTTATTAGCAGAGCTGCCAGGGGTCCTGGGAGTCAATGCAAGCAATATTTAATGGATACATTGGCTATGAAATATGTATCAGGGTTGAGGAAACAGCTTCATATGCAGCTTTTGCATCTTAATCTGTAACTTCTCAACAGACTTTATGTTAACCATCATTCTCTTCCAGTCAAAGCTGGATAAACCCCCTGCCACTCCCTCAATCTAAATTTAGGAATAGGCGTTCCTCCATCCTCCTCTACTCTGCTCTGCGTGCTCCTCCTTCCTGAAAATGAATGTGCACAGGCTCATCAATTCCATTAATGATGGATCCAGGTATCAATGAATCACCATTAGCACCTGAGCTTCATGTTATGGCAGTGGTGCTGTGATGAAGGTAATCTTGCACCCCACAGCCACCAAGTCACGTTGTTTATGAGCTGGCTACACAGACTGCTCTGTAAACGCCACAAGTATGTAACAGCTGTAGCATATAAACCTCTGCAAGTCAGAGCGCAACAGCTGTGTGGACTTTTTTTTTTTTTTTCCAACACAAGAACAAAGCGCACCCATGAGCGCCTGAATGAGTCAACGTGAAATTCTCAGACGCAGTTGTTTGTAGGTGCAACCAGACAAGTCAACGCGTGATCTAACTGTTGCAATACAACATTTGCAGTGATGCACTAATCAAACAGGCATGCAACGTTTTCACTGTGTCAAATTTCCTGTGTTAGAACCGAACCCCCGGCGTGCGTAAAAATGCCCAAATGAGCTCAAATGGCATTAGTTTGCGCGAGTTATGAGAAACATCTTACCTTTTAGAGTTTGAAGGGTCCCATGCTCTGAGATGAGACGCAGTAGTGATTGTGGAGTGAGCTCTCAGACGAAAAAGCGTTACATCACCAGCGCCACCGAACTCACTACGTCTGTTCGGCTACCAAGTGGGAACACTAGGTCCTGCGGTTCGAGGCGGCAGTGATCGAAGCCCACAAGAAGTCATCAGAGAACACATACACTCGGATTCCTTCTTCGGAGTTGGAGCTGAGTCTGATATTTCGTAGCCTTACTGATCGACCCCAAAGCGCGCACAAGTCCTCTCCTGGCGCACTCGGAGGCAAGTTATGGATGTGATGAGTGTTGGTGTAGCAGCTGAGCTCACAGCTGGACCGCGTGCCAGCCTTCCGCTCATGTTCCAGCTGTGCAAGCCTCACAATCTCACACTGCAGAGCCACAGTCCCGCCTATTGGTAGTATCACAGCAACACCACAGCCTCCGTGCTGCTTGTTGCACCATCACCACAACAGTTGTATCATTTGTCTGCGACATCAGTGCGTAATGTCAATCAAAAGCACTTCCCGGTAGTCTGCACATCTAGTCTAGTGCTGCCTTCAAAACACCTCATAAACTTCTATTTAAATATTTCCACGAGTGTTTATGTACTGGATGACACAGGTGCATTTCTTTTTTAATAATAAGAGGTTGCTGCAGTGGTAAAATTGATGGATCTGTATTTTTTTTTTTTTTAGATAATAAATGTCTGTTATGCAACTGTTTTTTTTTTATACATACAATCCAGCTACCTGTTGCTGCAGGGCTCTGCTCCCTTCATACTGTCACATGTTTGGCATTCATGTCACACAAAGACAATTGACAGCTCTAGTAAACAAACACATTGCAGTGCCAAAGTATTTCAAGCACAGCAATCATAGAATGGTTTGTTTGATTTTTAAAAAAAAAGCAAAAAGGTGAGAAGTGATTTGTTTCCGTGCTGCTGAGTTGAAGCTTGTTAATATGTGAACAGTGCAGCCAGTTTGAAAATCACATATTCACACATCCCATCACTAAAAATGTACCCGTAGTTGTAGTGAATTGCATTTTAAAAGCTTGGATCTGTGCTTGTGCGGCAGTTCAGCCATGCAGTTTTAATAGGGGTGGCCAGGCTAGAACCATTACAAACACTGGGGTGGCACGATGTCACAATAATTTCCTTTTTCTGCAAATTGCTGCAGGCCGAATAGTCTTTATTGTTTCACCACTCACTCTTATGATTTTGTTGTGCAGGCAAGACCGACTGTAGAAGTACATAAGAACTCATATACAGTGTAATTAGCTTTGTTTTAATTTTTAATGTAGCATACAGTTGATTAAAATCTGGAACAACATTGTGTATCGATCTAGCTTTGCATTTTTCTTTCTTTTGGCTGCAGGTTCTGGGTCAGTCTTGAACTGTTCAGCACTTTCTATTGCTTGTTTTCAGAGCTCTTCAAAGATAGGTTTCATTCCTGGACAAGTTCTTTAACTACAGCCACAGCTAAACATAAATCATGCACACTTTATCTAATAAAGACAAACATAGTCTTTATTTGCATACAAAACAGATCCATTTTATACTATCCATACACTTTTCAGTGGCAATAATGTGCAATTTTTGAGTTGCTACTGAGTAAACATTACTTGGTTGTATGTTGTTGAATGGTGATAGCAGTCTGTAGCCAATAAGAAATGTTTTTTTTGTTGTTTTTTTTTTATTTTTAAGAGATCTGCCAGAATAATCGTGGATGTAACTTCAGTTCTATGACTAAGTATGCAGCCCTCCAGCTGATTTCACTATTGATTTTGTTGAGTGGTCAGACTTTAGTCAGCGATGGACAAAAAACTTGAAAATCCCACTGTTTTCATGCTTTTCACCCTCTTTACTTCCTCTCAGTAAATTTAAATGTAGAATTTTGCTCTCTTTGATAAAGAAATAAACTATTATAAATATATTTGCCATAGTATGTACAGTCTATGTACCTACCCCTATGTCGTTGATTAACAAAACCTTGTAGAAAACTAAAAAAAAAAAACAAGTGGTTGCTGTTCAGAAAACATCCCCCAATTAAATTAAATGATTAAAAGTATTACTGTTATAATGATAGAGATTTTGTCAGGGTTTAACATTTAATTTGGTGCAGTTTTGTAGGTTAGGTTAAGTGGGTTAACTACCGTTTCTGCCACAAGTAAGTTGCTTTGTGGTTGTGATTGCGTAATTTCCGACAGCAGTGAAAGCACCGCGCTGAGGTCATGCCCAAACCAGGAAGACGCGGCGAGCCTGAATCCTCGGTACGTGCTTTTGTTGTTGTTGCTGCTGTTCGAAAAACAGCGTTTCATGAATTGCACATTAGATTAAAAGCAGTGTTGGTGTAAGATGAACTGTACTCTCCCAAAGAGACTCATTATAAAAGTCTCTCATTAACTGCAGTAGCGTTCAAGGACCCTGGTGGCTTTTCTGTCTGTGTTGTTGGTTTTACTTTCAAATTGCTGTTTTCAAATCTGCACAGTGAAGAGAAACAATATCATGGCACTTTTACATCAAAAATAACTTTTCAAGCTGTTTGCATGAAGTCTCAGATTCCAATGCAGTATGTCCAACTATTCTAATTCAAATGAACCTTGCATTATTTTAAGTGTTGCAGACATATTCTGAGTCTGTTAAAGGAATATAAACCAATTTAATTATCTGAAACTAAGGGTGGATCAATATATTGCTACTAATTAGTAATCAAAGAAACAATAAAGGTGAAAATCTTGGTGTCAACTTTTAAAATAACACAAACCCCGGCACAGGACTTCATTGAAATGCTTATGATTGTTTAAGTTTTACATATTTTTAATTAATACAGACCTCCTTGACATTTATCTTTCAGTATTCATAAGCTGTTACTCATGTTGTGTAACCAATCAGATAGTGTGTGGTTGGAACATTGCTCGGTACTACTTCAGATAAAGAAAGGCTGTTTCATTAGAGCTGAATTCATTCAGTTCATCGAACATCAGTAAAACAAAAACAGCAATAACGAGAAAACTGCTGAATATCGGATCCAGAACAGCCAGACCATAACTGAACAATCCCTACCTGACACATTGTTTCATCCGAATGGAAGATGGTGTTCTCCCCACACATTAATACGACATTTCTGTCATATTTAGTTGATCTGAAACCTAATTCATTCAGTGACTCAACCACTTCCTATGTTTTGAAACTTTCAAGCAGCCCTGATGGTGCAATCCTTTCTCAACAGCGCTCCGGCCTTACCATGGGACTCCCCTTCTTGAACCACTCTTAATCCAGGAAACAAGGGTGAAGAGGCCGAGAAGGGAGGACATTCTTTCATCACCGGCAGCGTTTGTTTACCAGAATGGACAGCCAGGAGGTGGGAGACTTACTGGAAAAATGCCTCGAGGCAGCAAAACCAGAAGCAGCAGGCCAACAGTCCGTCCAGCTGTCTGAACAGAGGCTAAACTACTGCAGATGCAGAGGTCAGACACATGATGGTGCTATTTGATCCAGTTTCAGTTGGACATGGGAGAACCGCAGATTGGGATTCGACACATGGGGGATGTACACAAACATAAACTCTGCTCTGCATATACAGGGTGTGTCCACAAATTGGAACCAAGGCAGGTGTTCTATCAAGCAATTGGTGTGAATTTGGCAGGATTTCCTTCAGTTAAGCAAATAATGTTATCTGGGACAGTGCCCTTGATAAACCTTTCTAAAGTCAATATAACTTACCAGTAGTCCCTCCACTTGCCCAACGTACATATTTAATATGTCTCAAAACATGCTTTGATTTCACCATTAATTTTCTCCTGCTTTTGATACTAAAATAACTCTGACAAGAATCTACAAACACAAAAAACTAAGTCTTTGTGTGGGAAGTGAATTCCACCTCCTCTATTTGAGGCTCTGTTCTCAATATTTGTGCCAATTTCTTATTGCCAAGTAAGGAGAATTTAAGCCATTTAAACAGCAATCTCTCCGGCGTTTGTAACCGATATTGATACTGTGGAACATTTTCTTCAGTAGCTTTAGGTGAAGCTATTCCTTCCTGCCAAAAAAACAAAACAAAACAGGATTTCAGGTTATTTTAAACTCATTAATCTCTGCTCAGCTACCCAAATATGCTGGATTTAAATCCTACCTTTATTTCCCGTAGACTCGCTGTGTGAAGAACTGGCCTCTCTGCTGCAGGAGGCCATGGAAATGAAGTGGCCCTTTGTGCCGGAGAAGTGGCAGTACAAGCGGTCGGTGAGCACCGATGACAAGACCAACCTCAGCGACCTCATTGGCAAGCACCTACCGCAAATACTGGTAATAATTACGCAGCTAGCTGAATGTATAAAACAAACTGCATGAGCACCTTCCTCAGTGTGTCTAACTGTGCCACCAGGCTTTTCTAAAGGCGTCCATCATGGCTCAGGAGGCACATTCGGCGTTAGCAGTGGTCTTCTTAGTGGATCGCTTCCTCTACTGGATTGACGAGTCGAGCCGGCTGCTGAAGATTGCCAGGCTGCTCCACAAACGCTACCCTGACACCCCCATAGCCCCGCAGCTGGTCATACGGCACGCCAGGGTCTTTCTAAACTCTGGTACGGTATGATGGAGGGCTGGCATTTAGTGTATGATTCTGATAATGGTGCTTCATGTTGGGAGCCATTGACACCGAATACATGTGGGTGGATGAGTAACACTTTACACATCATCCTAATTATTGTTTTAGGAAATTATTATGCAAACTCGTGACACGGAAATTACATATGAGGCTTCCCTTGTCATTTTTTTTTCTCACAATTTTAGTATCGAGGTATTTAATAGAGAGCTGGATAAATGTGAACTTAATCATCCCCTGCACCCACAGGCAAACTGCAGAAGGCAGAGTACATCCTGAGCAGTCTGATTAACAACAGCGGCACAACAGGTAGATTCCTCATTTTCAATGTCTTGTAATGATGGATTTAACTGTGTGCTACGGGCTACACAAATAGCTTAATTTTGGTGTACAGGTTGCTGGAAATACCACTCTGAAAGCGACAGGGCCCTTGTGCAAGCTGTTAGCGTTCAAGTACGTGGAATGATTTTGCAAAAACTAGGTAAGATCGTTTTTACCAGGCGACAGAGACGTTGTACTGTTGTGTGACATTTTTTATTATGACGCTCTTTGTTCCCTGTTTCAGGCCTGTGGCTCGGGGCTGCAGAGCTAATCTGGGCTTCTCTGGTTGGTTACTACTCACTTCCTCAACCTGATAAAAAGGTAGTCACTATTCTGTTACCATATTAGGAGATTGTAACCTTGATCGACCCAGTTTCCACACCGTCGTAAACCTTTATCTTTCTGTTTATGTCATAGGGCATTGGAACCTCTCTTGGTATCCTGGCCAACATTTTGGTGTCTATGAACGATGAGGACTTCAAAGCTTTTAGGACTAATCAAGATGCTGATTTTGTAATTCTATTTGACACAGTACTTCTTAATGATTTATATAATTAACATTTTACTGCATTTCTGTCTGTTTATTTAAATTTTTGCGTTTGTTCTTGAACAGTCTTTACTTGGGGACGGGAGTCACCGTCTTCTTTCAGCCGCCCAGGCAGCAAAGATGGCCGTGGTGTACAGTCAGTACACTTCACTCTATGTGTTGACAAACGTAGTAAGTTGTTCTTCTGAATACATCTCTCCACCTTTGATATACATGAATCCTGTTAGTTTCTCAATGAAGACAGAAAGAATTGAAACTTGCTCCCCGTAGCTAATGTGTTATACGGAAACATACATCTGCATTTGTTTTTGTTACTTAATTTTTGAATTTTGACCCTGTTTTACTCATGGAGTTGCTTTATTGCTCTGAAGCTCAACAAATACCTTTTAGACATGAGTGTCATCAACATTTTTTTAGGATTTTGAGGGTATTTGGTTGAATGTTTCAGAGTGGAGGAGAGTTTTAGTCAAACAAAAGCACACAAATGGGAAACACTTTATAAGAAGGTGTGTAAATAAACCAACTATTCCAAAATGGTTGCTCATGCAATGACAAGCTTAGTAGACTAACTACTTATATTTCAAAAACACACTGCATGCAAGAATAGAAATAAATCACCAATTTCTGTCACCATTTAAGGAAAAATTTCTTGCTGTGTAACGCAGTTCCCTAACAGTTTACCTTTTAGCAACGCCGCCAAGGGGACCATTGCAGTGCTTTTTACGCGAGCCTTTCATTTCACTCAATAAGACGGAAGTGCTCACAAAGCAAGCATCTGTTTATATCCTTGAAACCCCTCGAAGTGTTCCTAAAAGTCTCTTAATGTTCTGTGTGTGGGCACCTGCGTGAGGATCCACATACCACCTGCCGCGGTTGGCTGTGAAGTGGTTGAGTGCCGGCAGGACGCGTTTCGCACAGCACTCGCCGCTAATGATGGATGATTCAACTTATAAATGATGAGAAATCAATGGGATGAGTTTCAAGCGCAGCAGGTGGTGAAAGGATTTTAGATTTGGGGGTTGCAAAAAAAAAACAAAAAACAAACCTAAACAAACTGATAAAATCATCAGAGTAAATGCATTAGCTGTCTCACAGAGTCATACACCGTTTATTGCTATAATTATACAGTTATTACAACACCATGTTAATACCTAGTGAATGGTTTAATGCATGTTTAGATTATGTGTCAGTGTTCTACTAATGGTATCTAATGTCTTGTAGGGGCTTGTAAATATCTAATCAAGCATTTAATGTGATTTTTTTATTTTTTTATTTTTTTTAACAAACATACCTTATTGTAAAGTGTTACCCATAAATGCACCATACCTCTACATCAGACTCAGATGTATACTCTCATTGGATGATCACAGCTGTAACTTCTGAGGCCAAGTTACTAAAACATGCCCTTTAAAGTTGTGGTAGCCAGTTTGATGACAAGAAGATGGTCACACTTTCTACCGAACTGCTCTTGAACTATATCAGTTTGATCCAGAATACAGCGAGGAGGAAATGAGACAGAAAAAAGGACAAGAAGAGGGAATTCTGCTCATACATCATCGAATCCAGACTCTGAAACTAACACACTGTAGCCTGTGTAGTTGTAGCACATGCCACACTATGCAGCCCTCACCAGATTGTCTTTGTTGTTTTTGATGAAGTTGTGCTTCCCGCCTACAGACTCGTACCCACAGAGGAGAGTCTGCTCAGTAAGAACTGTTAGTAGGCGGGAAATCATTTCAGTCTGACATGAAACTACACAGAGGGAATCAGCCACAACATTAAGACCACCTATCTGATGTTGTGTGGGCTCCCCTTCTGCCACCCAAACAGCTCTGACCCACTAGGACACAGTGTTCATCCATGCTCTATCGAACTGGCTTCAGGGCCGTTTGGAAGCTGGGTCAGTGCCTTGGGCTCTTTGTCATATTCCTCGAGCCATTGCTCAGCAGTTTTTGCGTTGTGGGGGCATTGTCCTGCTAGGAAAGGCCACTGGTGTTGGATGTTACACATAAATGTAACATCCACGCAAATGCCAGGACCTGAGGTTTCCATTGCATTATGATGAGATCCATCCATCCATCATCTATACACCGCTTAACCCTCACTAGGGTCGCGGGGGGGCTGGAGCCTATCATTGTGATGAGATCCATCCATGTTATTCACTTTCCTTGTCAGTTGTTTTAAAATCCCTCTCTAGTTGTTTATTTAACCCTTGAAAACTAACTTCTGTGTATCAAACTTGAGTCTGATCAGTGTATATCTCCAGTTGGCTAAAGAAGCAACATCATGATCGCTGTAAACAATGTGTGTTTGGAAGGTAGACCGCTTGATCACTAATATGGTCCTTCTTGTGCTTCTGTTTCTTTAGGTGACTCAAGGCACCTGCCTGTTATCGTACAGTTTCTCCGTGGAATGCCCTGCCGCTCAAAGACAGTCGTTCCTCCTGCAGGCTAGAGAAGCATTTGCAGTCGGCCTGCTCACCAAAGCAGAGGGTGACCTGGTCACGAGCAAGCAGGAGCTTCATACCTTCCTCAAAGCTGCCTATTCCCTCACTGTCACTCATAAATGGCTTGGCACTCCTCTGGAGATTGTGGCTCAGGCATCTCAGGCTTGCCATGAAGCTGTGGCGATTTTTTACAAGTACTGTCTCGCTAATACCCAAAACAAAGAAAACCTCTGTGCTGAGATCATGCATCTTGTTGCCCAAGTCAAGCTTCTGTTGCAGGTGGAGCCTTTCCCTAATTCTGATAAGAAATCTTTCATCCCTGACAGCTATAGAAATGTCGAAGATGCCTCTGTAAATTTCACCCTGGAAGGTTTCTCAAAGACAATGCAGGAACTTCAGAAGAATCAAGCATCACTGTGTGAGACCAACAACACGAACCGTAGGGAAGCTAAAGATGAGATAGATGGGACTCGGCTGTGTATAACAGCGCTAGGGACAACCGTCAGTAGTCTCAACACTGAATGCAGCACTGAAGCCTGCAGAGAGTTAAAAGACCTAACCGAAGCAGAGGCGCCACAGCAGAGAGGTTCAGACCCATCCTTTGTGCATCTACCTCAAAAGTTTGACCTGCATGCCACATCAGGAAGCAAAGATAGCTCGTCATGGCATGACTTCTCTTTGAGCGGTTCAGGATCTCCTCAGCCCAGCAGCAGTGGCTACACAGGAAGCAGTGCTAAACATGGA